GTCCAATTTTATGTCTTGCAGGGCTTATACTGAGTTCAATAATATATAACTGTATTAATTCAACTGTGAACCTAGAAACTTGCACCCACTTGTGAAAGAGATGTACTCTTGCTCTGGAGTGTGTGACTGAATATGTTAAAGCTGTAGTGAAATGCTTCTTCTAATCATATAGTTATTAAAATTTTTTTCAAATGATTAAAAAAATAATAATTCTTCAAAGCACAAAAATTTGCTCCTTAATAATTAGTAGATGCCAAAAACATTATGATTGAAATCTACCTGATGACTTTATATCCATGCTCAGATGCCAAGGAGCTCAGAAAGTAACTGACTGTGACTAGTAACAATCAGATATATAGAGATTAGAAACGCATGTGCATCTTAGTGTAAATTGTATTAAAAATGAATTTTTTAGTATGAAACTGTATTTTAATAATGAAATGGAGATCTTTCTTAAAGTTTAAAACCCCATTTAATCTTATGTCTTATAAGGTTTATAAGGAGTACAATGTTGTATAACTGTATTAATTCAACTGTAAACCTAAATATTTACAGCCAATTTTGAAAGTGATGCATCTTAGCTCTGAAAATTATTATTGAATATGTGAATTCTGTTGTAATGAAATGCTTCTTCTAACTATATGGTTATTAATAAATAATTTTTAAAAAATTAGAAGGAGAATATATAAATGACTTAACAGAACAACTCAAGACTGGAAAGTAAAGAACAAACCAAACCCAAAATTAGGATACAAGATAAAATAACAAAAATAAAAGTAAAAATTAATGAAATTGAAGCAAAGTAAGCAATACAAAGAATCAATGAATCTCAGAGATGGTTTTTTCTTTGAAAACATAAACAAGATAAACAGACCATTATCCCATTTATCCAAAAGAAAGGGAAACCAAATCAAAATTAACAAAATTAAAGATGAAAGGGAAACATTGCAGCGGATACACATAGATTGTAAGGGAATACTTTAAAAACCTATACTCCAATAAATTTGAAAATCTAAAAAGAAATGAATGAATTTCTAAATTCATGGAAACCACCAAAGTTAATCCAAGAACAGATCAATAGCTTAAGCAGACCCATAGCAAATAAGGAAATTGAAACTGTAATGCAAAGTCTCCCAAATATAAAATACCTAGGCCCACGTAGAGCCACAGCAGAATGTAACCAGACATTTGAAGAAGATCTACATCTAATACTTCTTAAATTATGCAAAAATATAGAAACAGAGGGAGAACACCCTAACTCCTCTGAAGCCAGTATCATCAAATACCAAAACCAGATAAGGACTCAACAAAAAAAGAGAGAAAAATATAAGCCCATACCCTTAATGAACACAAAGATTCTTGACAAATACAAAACACATACAGACACACATCACAGAGTTTGTTCACCATGATTAAGCCAGCTTTTTTCCAGAGATGCAGGAATGATTCAATATTCATGAGTCAATAAATGTAATAAATCATTTAAATGTACTTAAAGACACCAATCACATTATTATCTCAATGCATGCAGAAAAGGCCTTTGACAAAATCCAACACACATTCATATTAAAAGTCCTAGAGGTAATTGGACTTGAGGGAACATACCTCAACATAATTAAAGCGATATATAACAAACCCAAAGGCCAAATCACTCTAAATGGAGAAAGATTGGAAGCATTCCATTAATATCAAACCAGACAAGGCTGTCCCCTATCCCTGCTCCTTTTAAATATAGTGCTTGAAATTCTTTCTAGAGCAATAAGACAGGAGAAGGAAATTAAAGGACTACTAATT